CTATTACTATGGTTTCTTCTTAGTTTGTTTCTCACTCTTCTCTATCAAATCCATTTATTATGAACAGAAAATAAATATAACATTTACTGAACATTAACACTGTTTTAAACACTTCACATGGAGGATGCACACTACCCTGTAAGTTAGTTACTTGCATGCTGGAGATAACAGAACTAAGGCTCAAGATCACAGTTATTAATAAGGGGGAGCCAGGACTCAAGCCCAGGTGGGCAGATTCCTGAGCCATGCATTTAACCTACATGTTATTTCCATTCCTATGTAATTCAGTTACCACATTTCAGTCATGCTTTCCCTCTTCTAAGCATGAGTGATATTCATGAGGTTGCATTTACCTTCTTGTGTTAAAATAACAGATTTGCTTCTTTTTTATTTATTTTTATTTTTTTACTGCCCATGCCTTGGTATATGAGGCTTGTGAGTTTGTTCCAGTCAGTTTGGCAAACCTTTATTGAGTACCCACAATATGCCATGCACTGTGCTGGGCACCAGAGGCCCTGCTTCATGAGACTGTCTTAATAGGGGATGCTGACAAAGAGAAATGCAAAATGTCAACCTATGATGGGATATCATGTTGGGATGAAGGGCATCGTCAGTGCAGTGAGATCCTACAGTGAAGACGTGACTGTGGGAGCAATGTCATGGGGCCTAAGTGTCAAAGGTCTGTGAGGAACCTCAAGCTTCAAGAGGCTGACCACTGGAGGAACCAGAGGGTATAAGGAAGAGCAGGAGAGTGGTGACCATACAGGAGCCAGGGGACAGCAGGGATGATTCTACCTTCGAGGATGAATACATAGGAAGAAGGGCCAGTGCCCGAGGAGGCAGGGTTGATAGGCTGAGGGGTGGACCCCATGGAGAGAATAAAGGTCTGTGTGTAGAGAGTAGATGAGATTAATCAATTGAAAGGCAGAAAGAGGGCAGTGCCTCCGCTCATCCTGGCACATGGACAGGATGGACCACCTGGCAGGCTGTGCCACCTCTCATTGACTCTAGGCAGGCTGCTTTGCCTCTTTGATCCTCGGTTTCCTCATGTGGAAGACAGAGTCTATCACTCATGCCATTTGGTGAGTATTGCAAAAGGAATCTGGCCCAGGGCAATCACTCAGACAATGTGAGTTAGTATTGCAGGCATTTGGTAAATGTTTGTTGAATGAATGAATGAATGAATGAATGAGAGCAATGGTGTAAGCCAGGCATCTTCAAACTACGGCCCGCGGGCCACATGCAGCCCGCAGAGGAGTCTGATCCGGCCCGCCAGGTTTTTTGGGCAGTGAGCGCAGCTGAGGTGTTACAGTAGGAATTAGTAGTTCATATAGTCCGGCCCTCCAGCTCTCTGAGGGACCGTGATCTGGCCCCCACTTTAAAAAGTTTGAGGACCCCATTCCCAGTGATACCCACTGGAGATGAGCAATCAGGGCAAGAGCTTAAGTTTGAGACTGGCCCATGATTCCACTTGTCTCTTGAGGACTGGGGAATAAGGGTCCCATTGGTTTGAATGGACTTCAGCTGTATCATAAATTCCAAACGAATCCATCCGGTCCTCCTGAGAAGCAGCCAGCCCGACAGGCAAGTCTGATCAAAGATCCTGCTGTTTAATCAGCCATAAGTTGGCGCTGAGGCCGCTGATTTTCCCCAGAGGATTTGTCTGCACTCAGGTGAATCTACATTCCTTAGGTTTCATCACTCCCTGCAGGTGCAGACAGCCCCGCCGCCAGAGCCCTCCCCCTGGCCAGCTGCAGCAACCTGGCACCTGGCACGGAGGAGCCCATCTGGTGGTGCTATGCAGCCGCAGCCATTCGGGGTGCTGGCCAGCCAGGCTGGCTCTGAAGATTGGTGGATACAGCTGCCTGCTCTTGCTCCCAAATCACATGGAGCAGGACTGTCTCCCAGCCAGGTGGGCAGTTCCAGGTGACCTTGGGGATTTCTACCAGACCCAGGAGAAGAGAGAAAGGCTCTGTAAAATGATTGCAATCATGTTTTCCATGTCTGTCATCATTTTTATTGAAGGATCTCAGCTACTGGGGGTACTTGTGAGTTTTTCTTCAGGGTTTCTGTGCCGGCAGCTGTGCGCCTTGATTTTCAGGGAGTGATGAGACCAAACCTGAAGGGAGGGACCACAAAAAAGAACGTCTGGATAAATACTTTTTAAAATGAAATAATTGCTATGGCAGTGGGTCCCAACATTAGCTGTGTGCTGGATTCCTCTGTGGAGTAGGACACACTCAGGGCTGCATGTTCTGAATCGGCGGATGTGTGGCCAGACCCAGACACCTGTATGGTTCAACAGCTCCTTGGGCCTGCCTCCAATCACCTGGGGCACTGGTTTAAAATTCAGGTTCTTCAGCCCCACCCCGACTCGCTAAATAGACAGCCCTAGGGTGTGACCAGCTTTCTTTGTAACCGGTTCCTCCCCGGTTCTTGAACACATTTATGTTTGAGAACAGTTGCATAAATGACTCTGACCTACCACACCTCTGCCCAACAACAATTAAGCTTGAATTTTTGTTTCCTGACCCAACTAGACTTCCCTCAGCAACCAAGCAAAGTGTTGGGCAACAGAACACAAAGAAGCAAAGAAAGTAGAAAAGTGACGTAATCTGAGGCCCTGATGAGTCTGAGGCCAGTGAATGCGATGGAAAAACACCAGGGCTCCTCACCTTGACTGCAGCAAAGCTTTGGAGGGTCAAAGGAGGTGTGTGAAAACCTGAAGACTGTCGACTGCTACACAGGTCTTTGGTGGAGGGACATTGTAGTGCCCGACCTCCTTCCAGAGGAGGAGCTGGCTGCTAAATGTGCATGGGTCTTTATTCTCCTGGCCTGGGAAACTTGGACCCCAGAGGTCCGACGCCCAGCCCTGGCCTCAGTCTGCAGGATCAGACCTCAAGGGAGCAGGGGGCTCAGTCCATGTGCCTGGGCAGTGTTGCCAGGTAGGCTCTGCTGCCAGCCTCACAGAGCCTTCGCCGTCCTGTGTCCTGTGTCCCCTCTCTTGGTGGCCATCGGCCAGCGTGAACCTTGTGAGTCCCTGTGGAGCCAGTACACAGCCAATTCTCTAGGAACCCAGCTGGTCAGACAATGGCCATTCTGTATTCGCTAGCCCCTAGGCAGCTAACCCAGAAACTGCCCTTGTGCCCTTTGGGGGCAGGCAAGTTTAAAACTCTCCTTCCAACTTTGACCCCATAACTCAGAGGCTGAGAAGGTACACTTTTTTCCCCAAAGCACAGTTTTACCATACTCTTTGACCATGGCCTTCAAGAAGGTCTTTTTCTTTTCTTCCTCTGCTGCAGCTGATGATCCCTGGGCTCACAAAACTCTATAACTTGGTGGATCTGACAGAATGCAGCTCATAATAGGCAGTTGCAGACACATGATCACTTTGTACCCAATGGTCCAGCGTTTTGTCTCTACTAGGGCCCAGTAACATATCAAGAATTGTTTTTTCTAAAGGTGCATGGCCTTGAGCTAGAATCACTGGACTATGTCATGATTCTCCCAATGGGTCTTCCCAAAATTTGTCTTTTACTTGATAGGGGGTTATTCTGGTATATCTCTGAGCATTGGGCCCCTAAAAACTTTACAGTGGGCATAGCTAGTCCCTGAATCTTCAGAGCATTCGTGTCCCACCCTATTAATCCATTTACCAAAGCTTTTAGTGTTTGACCACCCTTTGCTTATCCTGTCGGGTCAGCCTGATTCCATCAATATAATGGATCAGTGTGATGTTCTGTGGGATGTCCCGGTGATCCAGCTCTCTTTGGACTACGTATGACAGAAGGTGAGGGAGTTAAAAGAGCATGGAAGCCAAACTGGATATAAGTGTTGTCGGTTTCATGGTCATGTGAACTGTTTCTGATTCTCTTTTCCATTAAAAATATAAAATACATTCACTGAATAAAGAGCCACATACCATCTACCTTAGACCTTCTTAATCCCTGACAGCAAAAATACCACAGCCAGCATGACAGCTGCAACAGGGCTACTGCTGGGTTGGGTTGTAGTCATCTACAGTCATTCTCCAGATCCATCTCATCTGGTCTCTGCAGGGGTCTGGCAGGCAAATTAAATTAAGATACAAAAGGACCACCACCTCTGCATCATTTAGAGTTTTAATGGTGACACTAATCTTTTCCATCTCTCTAGGACACATGTGTCAAACACAAGGCCCGCGGGCCAAATCCGTCCCGCCAGGCCTTGCAATGTGGCCCGCACCGCGCTGTCATCACTGCACTCCACTGCGTTTCCATCACAATGACAGTTTATGACTGTTCAGTAAACCATTTGGCCCGCGATTTAGGCTGGATTTTAGATTTTGGCCCCTTCTCTGATTGAGTTCGACACCCCTACTCTAGGAGGTAGGGTACAGCTTCAGCATTTCCATTAGACCTTCTCCACTATGATAGCTCTTAGGCCAAAGGCTCCTTTCTGTTAAGAATCTACCTACTGCTTCAATTAACAGAGTTTGGATTTGAAAATTTACTTCATCCAGGAACTGAGGGGGGGCCATGACTTCCGATTGGGACAATTGCCTCCAGTCTCTTGCTCCTCCACTCTTGCTTTCTTGTTTGTTTGTCTTTTGTTATAAACATCAAACATCACCCGTGATATGCTCATCTTTTTTGCTCCTAGGAATGCCATGCTCTATCATAATCTCCTGCAGGTTAGCCTCCCTTAGCTGCTCCTCTAAACTTGCCAGCTGGCTTCTGATGATTGACATTTGGCCTCTTGACACTTGAGAATGGAGGGTCATCCCCATGGATATTAACAAGCCCAGCTCTGTGGCCACCTCTCTGGACTACAGAGAAGAGCCAGCACTGATCTTCTTAGTGATACTAAGTTAATAAGGTCCTGAGGCCTTAGTTAATGGTGTGTCCTCTAGGCCGCTTCATGGAACAGGATCCTCAGGTCTCCTGTCCTTATATAATGTATAAATATCCCAACCTTCTCACTTCTTTCACTCCTTTATTCTTCCCTCTACTGTCTTTCAGAGCAAAGCACTTTGTCCGGCGTGGGCCGTCACTTTCTCCAGGTTTCACAGAGCTGTTGGGTTTGCTGTCTATTGCTGTGGAACAAATTCCCTCAGAACCTGGTTGCTAAAACAGTATACATTATCTCACAGAAGTGACATCCCACCACGTCTGCCGTATTCTACTTGATAGAGGTGAGTCCATGGCCCAGCCCATACTCAAGGGGAAGGATGACACAAGAGCATTAATGCCAGGAGGCAGGGGTTATTAGGGGCCATTTTGGAAGCTGCCTACCATAGCTAACCTAGCAACAAGTGTGCCTCTTGGGGTCCTTGACAGGGTTTTAAATCCCATGTCTCAAGGAAGTACATCCAAGTCAAAATTTTTGAGTCTTATGCTCTTGATCAAGAACCATCAAATCTAGACCCTGAGGTCCTTTTCTGGCTCCTGCTGACATACGCTAGCTAATCCTTACAGCTGTCATTATACAGTCTCTTTCCTCCCTCATCAGGCCCAGCCAGGTTCTGGAACTTAATCCTAGTTATCAGAAGGTGCAGGCAGTTTTTTAGAGACCTTGCTGCAACCTGCCATTACATTTATTTACTTACTTATTCAAGAACTGTGCTGTGTAGGGTGCCATTCTAGTCCCTGAGAGTCATTAGTGAATAGTCCCCTCTCTCCAGAGGCTCACAGCCTAGTGACAGGAGTCAGTTGTTAACTGCATGAACAATCATGGGATATTTGGCCTCGTGTTAAAGTGCTAGAAAGAGAATAAAGGAAAGCAGAGGAATAGAGACTGGGGAGGGAGAGTTCATAGTTGATGTATTAATTGAGACCCTGGCCATGAAAGACGTGGTCAGAAGTGGTTGAGGTGGAGGAAACAGCCTTGGTGGGGGGGACAGCTTGGCCTGCTCTGTAATCATGAGCGAGGTAGTGGTGCAGAGGACGGCCAGAGAAGTAATCAGGGACCAGATCCTGACCTTTCATGCTGTGGCCCAATCCCATTAAAAGGGTTTGAAGTAGAGCATTAACAATCTGACTTATATTTTTAAAATTTAACTTTGTCCGAAACTGGTTTGGCTCAGTGGATAGAGCATCGGCATGCAGAGCTCAGAGTCCCAGGTTTGATCCCTGTCAAGGGCATGTACCTTGGTTGCAGGCTCTTCCTTGGCATCTAGGGCAGTGTCTGCTTTTTTTATTAAATGTTTAAAAAAAATTTTAAATTACCATTGACATTCACTAGTATATTAGTTTCAGATGTACAGCATAACAGTTAGACATTTTTATAAATTATAAAGGTAGTGTTTTGATTTTGCCAGCAAAAGCACCTACACCTCCTTCCCCCTTCCAGTAGTCCTTTTAATTATACTCTTTCTTAGTTCCCTTTTTATTTGAGATTAAACATATTCAGTTCCCCAATAAGTTATTTTAAATGCTATGCTCCATCACAGTCAAATTACTTTGTGTTTATCAGTACAAGCATGTTCTTAAAATGAGTTCTTAGTCTTTTCCCATCTTCTGTTCCTGTTTGGCATTTCAGAACCTTAGTCATTCTTCCCCCTTCTCTTTTTTTTTATCTTCTTGTATGGCTTGGACTTGCTCAAATCATGTCGCCATTTTTATGTGAATTTCTTTTCATACTGAAAAAACATAAACTGGGGCATATTAAAATTTTAAGAATTTATCTAAGCAAAAATCAACTCAAGCCAGGTAGCACTAAACCAGAAGTAGTGAGGGGCAAGTATGGAAGCAAAGAAAAGGGAGCTTTTTGTGTGTGTGTGTGTGTGTGTTTTTTTAATATATTTTATCGATTTTTTTACAAAGAGAAAGGGAGAGGAATAGAGAGCTAGAAAAATCAATCAGCTGCCTCCTGCACACCTCCTACTGGGGATATGCCCACAACCAAGGTACATGCCCTTGACTGGAATGGAACCTGGGATCCTTCAGTCCGCAGGCTGATGCTCTATACACTGAGCCAAACTAGTTTCAGTGAAAAGGTTTTTTTTTAATTTTCTATTTATTTTATTTTTTTGATTGGCTATAGCTTAAAGCCTTGTTGGCTATTTGTGATTAGTTATCTGTAGGTTTCAACTTGGTATCCTTGAGGCATAGATTTTGGTTTGCATAAGTAGGTCTCCAGGACATTAAAGCCAACTCAGTCTAATGGCCTCCTTGTTTAGTTAGTTTAACAATAAGTTTGCTTTGTTGTTCTGCAACAAGGAAGGGCATAAAAGCTGAACAAAGTTTGCTACAATTGAAATCAGTCACACTTAGTCATGATCATGCACTTCTTACACATGTATCAAACATCAAGCTAATTTTGCCTTATTTAATTTTTATGACAATCCCAGGAAGTGGCCAGCGATTTCTGTTGCCCTCGTTTTAAAGAAGAAGAGAAGCTCTGGGAAGCTAGGCAAATTTCCCTAGGTGACATGCTTGAGTGAGTATTTTAAGGTTGGATAACCCAGTTTGAAGTCAGAAGGATGTGGAGCTATGTTCTATTCTCTGAACGTAAGTGAAGTAAACAGCATGCAAATTTAAGTTCTAATGCAAATAAGCACTTATTTTCTGAGGCAGCCATTTAGACATTTTCTGTAGCAAGCCTGTGGCTCTGAGGGTAAGCTTAGGCCTTGATTGAATGTGATGTTGCTGTCAGTTCAGATTTGTGCTTACAGATGTGTGACGGTCCCTGAAGGCTGCAGAACACTTAGATGTAGGCCAGCAATGGTTTCTGCCCATTGTACTTCCACTCCGAGGACACAGAGTGGTCTAGCTGCTAAGTCCTTCCTTGTCTAATGACCCTTCATTTACATGCCTGCCCATTGTTAATGACAATCACACACACACACTCACACACACACACACACACACACACACACAATGGAATTAGGATGTACTGGGAAATCTGACTTCTGTAAAGGAAGCTGAACATCCAAAAATTGCCACCTGGATATTTTATGTCTTTTTTATGTGTGTGTGTGTGTGTGTGTGTGTGTGTGTGTGGTTATTGTTACTGTTGTGTGTGTGTGTTTTTTACACAATAAGACAGCTTCTCAAGATGGCACATTTTGGGGCAGGTTGGCAGTGTCATCTGCAGCTCATTTCCTCTCCATCCTTCCTGCTCCCAGCTGCTGAGTCCAGCTCAGTTGCCTGAGTGGAGGGGGAAGTGGGTCAGTGGATGAAGTATCTAAGGCTGTGCCTGCCTTGTTCTCTGACTGTGGCTGCTGACAGGCCAGGCCCCTTCTCTCTGTCTTTGCTCTTGTTGCCATGAAGATTTCTTTTCCATAGTTTGAAACTGTCATGCAACCTCTTCTAGTGCAGCCTGACCCTCACTCTCTGCATAAACAGAGAATGTACTTTATGAAGGTTGGAACAGCTTCCCAGAGGAAAGCAAATGAGGAGCTGGTCAGCATAAGATTTCACCAAATAGTACCATTACTCTTACTATTAGTACTACCACTACTGTTCCTGGCACCGTTGCTATTGCCAATATGCAAATTGACTGCCCCAGCCTCAAAGATGGCGGCACCCACAGCCAATAAAGAGGTAATATACTAATCGATTGTTATGCGCTCAAATAAGGCAGTGCTCACAGTCACAAGATAGCAGTGCCCCATCTCCTCAGCCCCGCTAGGGCAGCAAGCATGTGGCACAGCCAAGGCCACCCCTGGGTGGGCCTAGCTGCTCCATGCACCTGCCTCTGGAGTCCCCCAGTCCCCTCAGCACCTCAGCTGCCCAGTGCTTGATGGCGGCTTCCCAGCCACTCAGGGCCGCCTGAGGTTCAGGTAAGCAGGGCCGGCCAAGGCTTGTGCTGCCAGCAGTGGCAGCAGCAGAGATGTGATGGGGCATCGCCTTCCCCTGATCGCTGGGTCACCTCCTTCTCCTGAGGGTTCCCAGTCTGTGAGAGGGGCAGGCCATGCTAAGGGACCCACCTCCAGTGCATGAATTTTCATGCATCAGACCTCCAGTCTAGCTATAATAATAAAAATATAATATGCTAATTAGAAAAGACAGCTGAACGATCTTCCGGATGCCATTCCAGACAAAACCATGGCAGTGGGGGTTGAGGTAGGGGAGGTTAGGGGCAATTAGGCAGGCAGGCGAGCAGTTAGGGGTGATCAGGTAGGCAGAGTGGTTAGGGGCTATAAGGCAGACAGGAAGGCGAGCAGTTAGGAGCCAGCAGGCACACAGTGCGATTGGGCCTAAACTGGCAGTCAGACATCCCCCAATGGGTCCCGAATTGTGAGAGGGTGCAGGCCAGGCTGAGGAATCTCTTCTCTCCATGCAAGAATTTTGTGCACCAGGCCTCTAGTTTGTTATAACACTTACACAAATGGAAAACCAGTGCCTTATACATTAAGTATAGAAAACCAGCATCTTATACATTTAGTAGAAGAGAAATGTAAACCTCATTTTTAAGTAGTTTTTTAAAAGTTTGTCCATGTGCCATCTAAAACATTCTCCTATGTCACCTATAAAATAGAACATTAATGTCAGAGCTTTACTTGAAAGGCACTTGGGCAGAGGCTTTCCTACTAATGCTCTTGATCCTTCTCACTGCCAGGATCTGCACCTTTGTATCAGAGAACTTTTTCCAGAAGGCCCCTCTGCCTTGCTGTACAAGCTACCAGCGAATTCCCATCTTTGAGAGTAGCCTCAACCACTGACTGATGGGAATTGGTGTGAAAGTACCCAGCTGCCTCATCCCTCCAGTGAGAAACATCTGAGGTGTGACTTTTACATATCGCTAATTTCCCAGTTCCTCTGTAGAGTTCAGTTCCAGTCACTTGCTCTAGTTGCTGGCTTACTAACACACCCCTGTAGGCTGACTTTTCTTCCATTCACCTCCCAACCCTTTACCAGTGTCCCTGTACCTCCCACTTAAGCTGGCTGTTCTCAAATATTTGTTTCCAGGTCTGCTTCTGGGGAAGCCCAAACAAAGTCAGGGGCTGCCTGCAAATCAGGGGACGATGGTCATTTTGACATGTTCCATTTGAGATTTGCATGATATGTGCTCTATTCAACTGTACACTGACTATGCAGATTTATCAAATTATGAGCAGGAACAAGTTCAAACACACTCAGCAAATATTATTTTCTAGGTCATGTTTTTCTTCTGAAGTGAAATTTTGAAATATTTTTCAGAAAAAAAAAGTTGAAGTAAATCTAAACAGTTTCCTATAGTAATGGCTCTTTCCAATGTACACAAATGAACATGAGACCAAGATTTTATTTGGATATGACCTTCAGTGGAGGGCAATCAACCTGCTTAATTTAGTCCTGGGAATTATTAAGCAGGGAAATTGGTTATAAATGCAAATAATTACCTTGAGACAGTAGTTGAAGGAGATATTCACCACATAGTGTTATTATTACAATAGTGATCATGGTTAAGAATTACAAAATCCTCACAATTTTGTGACACATGCTCTCACTTAATTGAACCTTCTCTATAAAAGCTAGGTCATTGCCTCTGGCAAAAACCCAGTCCTGGGAATAAAAACAACAACAACCGAAACTACTTGGATTAAAAGGGCAAGTTTATTCTGCTTGTTGATCTAGATGTTTGATTTATTTTCTACTTTGTCTTTTCAGAAATTCCAACACAAGTGTAGTTCCTTTGAAAGACTCCTACTTGCTTACTTGACATTCAGACCATTCTTTCAGCTCTTGATGGGGCTGCTGCCCAGTGGAATTCATTGGTCACCACAGAAATTGTGCAGATTTGTAGGTGCTAGGAATATGGCAGTGAGCAAAGGAGAATAAGACCTAGACTTTATGGAGCTTACTAGTATAAACTAGTAAGAAGTTTAAGCCATTAGTCAAACAAACAAATAATTATCTTACCTAAAAACAGACAAACATGTACATTGACCATACCTCTGTTACACCCACACCCAATCAGGAGTGAGTATGCAAATTAACCCAACAAAGATGGTGGGTTAATTTGCATATGTAGGTGCAGAGTGGCCAGGCAGGGCGGGATGCTTACTATGAGGGGGAGTGAAGCCAGGGGAATATCATGCAACAGGCCTCTAGTAAAGTATAAGTGCTGTGAAGGAAGAGAGAAATCAAGGAAGTACTTATTTGTATGAGGATTATCAATTGGAGGTGATGTTTAGTTAGGAGTAACAGAAACTTGATGAGCTCAAATAACTTAGGGTTTGTTTCTTCCCCTAGGGCAGGGAGTGGCAAACGTATGGCCCGAGGACCATATAAGGCCCCAAAAATCATTTGGTCTGACTCTGCCAACGCATTAGTGGTGAGTTAATTAAATACTTGACCAAATATAGCAGGCTGATTTTTAGGTTGATAATTTTGTATGGCCCACGAATGATGTTACAAATATCCAAATGGCCCTTGGCAGAAAAAGGGTTCCCCACCCCTGCAGGGGGATGAGAAGTCTAGAAGTAAGCAAACCAGGGTTGGTATTACAGCTCCTCTTCAACATCATCAGAGCCTTAGGTTCCTTCTAACTTTCTGTTCTGCCATCATTAGAGTATGGTTCCTGATCTCATGCCCACTAGAAGTCTGTGAGAGTACTAGGCCATTATGACTGAGGTCCATACACAGGCAAGGAAGGAGGGCCAAATACAAACAGGTCTAGCTTGCTTGCCAGTTGAATTGCCCCCCCTTTAAGGGAAATTTTCTGGAAGTATAATCTAACAGCATTTGCTCACACCTTATTGGCTTGAACAGTGTCACATGGCCACCCCAGTTGTGAGGGAAACTGGGAAATGTAGTGTTTTAAGGAGCACTTCATCATCAACACAATCAGAATACCATTGGTAAGACAAATAAAAAGAAAGAAAAAAGAAAAAAAGAAAAGAAAAGAAGGGAGAGTGGATCCTGAATAGGTATCTAGCAATCTCTGCCACGAATAAAGATGGGAAAAATCCTCTGTTATCAACCTTCTGGATCAGGGGTCCAAACCAAGGTCCTCCTGCCTAGTGCCTTTTGCAAAAATAGAAAGAGACTGAGTTTGGTAAAGCAGAGCAGAAACTTTATTCTTTGATCAAGGAATGGAGTAGGATCAGCTCATACTCTAAAGGCACTTTCTTCCCACCTGGGGTGAAGCCTTCTGTATTTATAGGCTATGGTGTGAAGTGATTAAGTCCTTTTAGGCATGTGGAGTTGTTTTTCTGTTGCACTTGGCCCTTTTGCACACGTTCCTTTTTGCACACGGTGCTCCATCACCATCTTGGTTTTTGCACTTGGCACCTTGGCCTTTGCAGTCAGTACCTTGGTCTTGTGGTCAGGAATCTTTTTCAGTTCCTGTAGGCAAGCACAGCTTGTGACAGTTTAGGTCTTGAGAAATGTTAGGGTCTTTTGCATGACAATCCAGTGACACTCCTTTGGGGACATGACATCTAAGCTAAGACCTCAAAATGAAGAAGACTTACCTAGGCTGATAGCAATGGAGAGGCATTCTAGGAAGAGAGACCGGCAATATATGAAAGAGGGAAAGAAGGGGAGGTGGAAGAGCTTAACTTTCCAGGTGGAGCATCCCACGAGGAGCAAGGTAAGAGTATTCTAGCCCTTCTTGGTTTCCCATTGAAAGGCACAAGGTATACAGTTAAGTAATAAAAGAATTCTGAGCAGGACTATTAAATGACTGTTCTCAGAAAGAGAACATTCTATATCACTGTTTCTCTATGACTCATCCCTTCGCAAATACCTTCACTTTTGAGCACTTAGTACTTTTTCCCCTGAAAGAGTGAAATGGTGGTCCCTCTTCCTGCCAAACTCCTGATTAGCTTTGTTCTGGATTTTGGGAAAAAAAGAAATCCTGTTTCCTGCCCTTGTTTCCTGGCTGCAGCCTCTGGTTCCGCCCACTTCTTGGTCTCACAGTGTCTATTTCCGCCTCAAGCTCTCAACCAAGCCCATAGATCACTTTTCTCATCCACAGTTACTAGTTAGTCATTCAGACATATCAGAGTGGAAAATAATTTCCTTTCTTTCTTGGGTCACTTTTTTCTTTTGTCCTCTTGGATTACTTTGCTTGTTTTTTTCTTAAGTTAATTTTTCAGACTCTTCCTTGTAAGGACAGAAAGAATCTAAGCAGGTGTTGAGGGCTTGGTTCTCCTGGGGAATATACTGGAGTATTGTTGGTTCAAGACCAGAAATGATGTAATCAGGTCACTGGCAACAAAAGGAAGACAAGGAAAATGCCAGGGTTTTCTGTCTTGGGTGTGGAGATTGAGATATAACATAAATGGCCTGGAGGGGAAGTAAAAAGTGCCTCATCAAAGAAGACAGCTTCTGGGTTTGCATAAATTCTCCCGCTTCTAGGCTGGCTGATCTTAAGCCAGTTATTTGATTGCTTTACACTTTTTTTTAAAAGTTTATTTTTATTTTTTAATTTCTAGGAAAGGAAATAATAGTGCCTAGCTAATCAAGTTATGTGAGGATTAAATAAAACGATAACCATAAAATGCTTGTCATAGTGCTACAGAGGAAGCACTCAGCAAATGATCATCATTACTATTATCTGGATTTAGACAATGTGTGTTTTTTAATTAAAATATTCCAGCCTTGAGAAAAAATATATATATATGGAAGACCACTGATTTCTTCCTTGAGAGACCGCTTGGGGATAGATGACATGTGTAAGATTGGCATCCACCTTGGGATCTTCCTCCATGGAGATATGAGGGACAGATTATAAGCTTTTTAGAGTGAGGCTATGTGGGATAATGATATATCTCCAAAGTGTTCTCAATTTTGAGGTCAGCCCTTGCTACCCCATTCACATGGGAAGTGCCTAAGAAACAGCCAGCTCTGGATTCTCCCCACGGTATCAGTGGATTAGTCTCTCAGCAAATGAGGAGAATCCCAGCTGGGAATACAGATTTGGGAATGGTGTTCTCACTCTCTTGATGGCACAGAGGAATAGCTCTTTGAATCATTCTATTGGTCTGTTAAAATGGTTCTGAGGTTGACTGTAATTCAGAGGTTCCTTCCTCTATTCCACTAAACCACTAGCTTTTAGAAATTATTGTTGGCACCATGAGTATGTCTGTTACACATGACAACTGCATTTATATCTTTGTTTTATCAAGTCAGGATAGGCTAATTTATGTTGTAGAAACCAACAGCCCTAAAATCTCAGTGGCTGAAAACAACAAAAGGTTATTTTCTTCACACTGCACATCCAGATCCATGTCAACTGTCCCTGGCAGGGAGAAGGAGGGCACATAAAATCATATTCTGATTCTTACAGGCTACTGCCTCATTCCAATTGCTCAAGCAGGTCCTGTAGTCATGCCTAACTTTAACAAAGTCATATTAGGATTTATCATGTTAGAATTTTTCCCATTCAATGGGCTTACCTGTAGTCAGTATGTTCTGAGGGTGTCTTGAACCTTTGAAATCACCTGGCTTGAAATTGTAGAGGACTGACCAGTAATCCAATAAAAATGGGGCAAGATGGAGAGTCTGCTAAAATTCTCTTTTGAAAAAAAAAAAAGTCATGTTTTATGTATTTAAAATCAAATTTGTTCTATGTCTTACATTTGAACTTTAATATAGAAACAAAATTTGGGCCACAAAACAGTCAAGGTATGTGCAATAGTAATGGTGATTTTCCTTAACAAATTGTCTAAATAATCTTTGTAATAATAACAGATTTAGTTTATTGAATCTTTTCCAAGGGAGAGCTTAGGACAAATGTGTCATAATAAATAAGTCTTTATAGCTTCATTGCCTTATTCCCAATTAATTCTGCATATACTTTAGACATTGAGAAAGTAATCTATGTGGTTGAGGATTACTTCAAATGATACTTGTTGCTTTAAAACACCAATAACGACATGGCTTTTTGACTGTTTTGAATGAAATGTGTAAGTAAAGCCAGTAGAGATATCTTTGTAACTATGCTACAGTTTACTGCCTGCCCCTCACCTGCCTGGCTCTGGACTAAGCATTCTGGACACATTATCACATTCTTCAATTTTCCTAACAATAGGCTGAGGCTTTGAGGGGTCACAGTGTTCTGCCTATAGTCACTTGGCTGATACATGACACAGCCAAAGCCTGACTCTAGGTTTGCCTGAATCCGGAGGCCACCCCTTAAAAAGAAAAAATTATTCTTTTGAATAATTAAAGAACAGGTCTTTTCTTAAATTTAGAGTGGGATACAGCTAAAGGGGAGATGGTCTAAACTGAACTCAAAACTCTTTCCCATTTTCTCTTATCTTTTTCTTTTCTGGGGTCCAGAGCAATAAACATTTAGAGAAAGACTGTTTACCCAAAGGCTGTTTCTATTTAAAATGTTTCACCAAGACAGTGAGTAATCTCTTATCCTATTAAGGAATTTTCACTGTTACTACTGAAACCAAGATGTCATTATTAAAATAAACTATTGGTTTTCCATAAAGTGGTCATTTATAATGACTTTTCAAGAATGGAAGCTATGATATCTTTATTATATAGAACACAATCAAAGATCACAATTCTAAGAATCGGAATTCTTTTTTCTTTTTTTTAATATATTTTACTGATTTTTTACAGAGAGAAGGAGAGAGGGATAGAGAGCTAGAAACGTTGATGAGAGAGAAACATCGACCAGCTGCCTCCTGCACACCCCCCACTGGGGATGTGCCCGCAACCAATGTACATGCCCTTGACCGGAATCGAACCCGGGACCTTTCAGTCCGCAGGCCGACGCTCTACCACTGAGCCAAACCGGTTTCAGCAGAATTGGAATTCTTTGATGGCAAGCAACAGACCCAACACTGTCTTAAGCAAAAGAAAGAATTTATGAGAAGGCTGTGGATTTTCTCACAATCCCAAGGAAAAACTGAACACTAGATTTCAGAAAACATGTGAATCGGCATCACTCGTGGAGCAGGAACAAATAGACAGACGTTTGAGATCTACCTTACCAGATTAATCAACTTCATTTATTTGCCATCTCTGCTTCACTTGTTTCAAGATGTAATTTTCTGAGAGAGAAAATATTTTCCAAACTAGCATCTTGATCCATTGGTCAGCCAGGATGCATCAGAGCCAATACCTTGTTCGTATTCCAACTAAGCCTATCGGCAATGGGAGAGAGGTAGTTAGTTTCTAGAGAAAATCAGGGTGCTGCCACCATAAAGGGAACTAGCAAATTGGAAGACAGCAAGAATTGTATACTACAGAGAACTTCTAGGGTAGAGGTATAATGGAAGAATCATCACCATGCTCCTTAATGGGGAAACTGAGGTACTGAATAAAAGTAGTTTGCCCGAGGGGTTACATTTACTGCCAGAAATAAAACTTTCTGACTTATACCCACCCATTGGAAATTCTTTTCTTTATTCTGCCCAGTTTGCTAAAGCAGTGGTGCAGAGACGCAGCATGCATCAGAATTACCTGTGGAACTTGTTAAAAATAGAGGAGCTGGGTTTGGCATGGGGCTGGTGCATTTGTATTTTTAATAAGCTTCTCAACTGATTCTATTTACAACCTACTTGGAGGCTCACAACACCAAGTTTCCATATAGGAAAAGAACATTGTAAAACTAAAAATGGGATAAAGTGAATTTAGGGAAAAGATATAGGTTTGGTGATAAAAAAAATTTTTTTGAGGCCCAATTAGTGTTAGCTGTCTTCATGGTTTGGGGGTTAAGGACAGGGAGAACTCTTTCCTGGTTATAACCAGCCTGGGCCAAGTGGATCAGGAGGGTTAGGCTGTTGACCTAGGAAACCCTTGGAGGTGCATGCTGCAGGAAACAGGATTGGGGCCCCTGTAGGGCTGCCCTGACCACCCAAGGTGCCGAAGGGGAGGGATCAGATTTCATGGATAGATTGCCCAAGCGTGAAGATCTGGAACACAGAAAAGGGTTAGGAAACAGGCCTGAGCTGGCACAGACAGGAAAGGAATCTGTTACCTTTATCTTTTTGCCTCATCACAACTGGTGACAGGCCACTCTAAGTGTCTTAAACAACTTGGAACATGGAGAAGGAAGATTGCTATTCTTCTGCTGGGGAGCCATTTTCCTCCACCTCTATCCATCCTTTTAGGTCCTTACCTATGCATCACCTCTTCAGAGAGGCCTTCCTAGCCCCCCAATCTAAAGTAAGGCCCTGCTGTTCTCTTGTGGACACCTGTTCCTTCCCAGGGCCAGTTTCATGAGCTTGCAACCCGTGCAATTGCATAGGGTCCTGTGCTTGGACTCCATGCTTGGTTTACTGCTCTGTTGTTGACATCTTGAAAATTTTAATAATTTTTTAATAAGGGGCTCTCCATTTTCATTTTGCACTGAGTTCTGCAGATTATATATCTGGACCTGCTCTTTCCCTTCTTAAACTGCTTTTTTTATATTTTTATATTTTTATTTTTTATTGATTTTTTACAGAGAGGAAGAGAGAGAGAGAGCTAGAAACATCGATGAGAGAGAGACATCGATCAGCTGCCTCCTGCACACCCCCTACTGGGGATGTGCCCGCAACCAATGTACATGCCCTTGACCGGAATCGAACCTGGGACCTTTCAGTCTGCAGGCCGACACTCTATCCATTGAGCTAAACCGGTTTCAGTCCTTCTTAAACTTCATCACTTACTTGCAGTAGCCCTAACATCTAGCTGCATGAATGGCTTACTTTGCCTGTTTGGAGGCAGGAATGGGGGGAAACAACCTTATTTGGAGAAGGAGAGCTTCTTTGTGATAGCAGTGAAATTGTATTTGTAAGCTAGATCTCTCTGGACCATTAAGATGTGATTTCCCAGAAATTCCCAATCTCTTTGAAGGGAAATGGCAAAGGTCCTGGATAGCATGGCAACGATAGAGATGACAGAGATAACATCAGGCTGAACTTGTCATCAGGAGGGAGGGAGGCAAAAGCAGCAGCAGGTACAACAGTTGGAACAAGAAGGCTTACGCTTGAACAGAGTGTACCGGTGGTGCTGGGTGGTGGCCAGAGTGTAACCATTTGGCATTGGGCTTTCCAAGCCCAGGGACAGAAGTGGCTTCCATCCAGTCCTGCTTCTAGTTATTAAAACAAACACATCGGCAGGGAAGAAATAGCCCGCTGTAGGTGAATATAATAAACAGGAAGTGTCCATGGGAAGCAGTGAGGGACACAGCCTAGGGGACCTTGGAAGTTAGAAGTCTGTGAGTTCACTGAGTTCAGGTGAGGACTAGAGCTCTGGGACAGAGAGAGCACCACGTAGAAACAGAGTGAGGCTGATACGAAAGGTGGGCAGAGGCCGACCTGAAAATGCTGAGCACAGATGCTGAGCATAGTGTGGATTGTATTCATAGGCTAGCTTGGCTAAGTAGTGACTATGACTTTTGTCCACTGGTGTTGGCCAATTCAGTGCTAACAAGAACCCCCAATTTGGGGTGTGGTGAAGAAGGAAAGTTTATTTGCTGTGAAACAGTTCAATTGTGATACAGCTGGCCGTGGAACAGCTGACCTGTGATTCAGACTGGCTGTGAAAACAGCATGGCTGTGAGGCAACCCTGATCTGGCCCCTCTCTGGCTTGGATAGCTCTGTTCTTCCTTGGGCTGCTCTGTTCTGTGGCAGTCTACTCTGTACTGCTCCGCTCTGTTCTGGTCAGATGGTGATTCAGTCAGCCAAGGAGACACAGTCTTCCTTCTTCAGTGGGAGGGAAAGTGTTCTCAGAGCTAGAGGGGAGCTGGTTTATATACACAGAAGTCCCCACCCCTGGTCCATGGTTGGTCTGCCCTCATGCAAATAAGGGTTCCAAATCCTCACAGTTTGATTTGTCCAAAAGGCACTGTCTTGACTGGTCAGAGTAGCACTGCTGTGGTTGTTGAGAGCTGCACAGATCTATTTGGATGGGGAAAGCCTCAGTCCTATTGGTTGAAATAGGGTTCCAGGAACTCCTTTATAAGGACTGGCTCAGATGGCAGAATCAGTGCAGAGGCAGGCAGTTCAGTGCAGATCTCTCCCTGAAGTGCAGTTTGTGTGAGAGATCCCTGTTTGTATGAGAGGCTGCTAGGCTCTGATTTTCTAATTCTCACCTGATAATTTTTTTTTTAAATTTAAATAGAGAAGGAGAGAGAGAGAGAGAGAGAGAGAGAGAGAGAGAGAGAGAGAGAGAGAGAGAGAGAGGAGGGAGAGAGCCTCCTATAGTGGGATTGAACCTTCAACCTTTTGGTATACAAGACAATGCTCGAGTCTAGCTGAGCCACCCAGCCAGGGTGTAGGCTCTGGTTTTTTTTTTTTTTTTTTTTTTTTTTTTTTAATTTGAGCCCAGTTAGTCACCAGGAACCTTTCTTAGTAGTGTCTTCTTTCTCAGGGTTCACACTTTAGACAATTGATTCTCTGTTGGTGGATGAAGCAGAAAGAATAGAGATGGAATTATGTCTCTTATCTGTGGAAAAGCTAACAAAATGTGGCCAAAACTTAAAAGGGGGAATTTATTGGCTCAAATAATTGAGAAGTATAATAATATGCTATTTTTAGGTATGGCCAGGTCTGATTCTCAAAAAATGTCTTTAATACTTGGTCTCTCTCCTTGTTTCTTCATTTCTCAGCTCATATTTCCTCTGCATTAGCTTAATTCTCAGATAGGCTCTCCCCATTATATAATGGCTCCTGATTATATATATATATATATATATATATATATATATATATATATCCATCTTGCTTCAAGTTTAACGAAGAGTACCTTTGGCCTAGTTGCTCTAATTACTGCCTCTTTCTTAGTGCCTCTAATCGTATGATGTGTCTGGTCCCTTTTGAAAGGTGAGATGCATATTTGGATATAAAGGTAGTATTCATCAGCCAAATGGGTATACCTACTTGGAGTTCAGAATAGAGGTCAAAGCTAGGATAGATATTTGTAGGTTGTTAGTGTACAGATGGCATTTGCAGACATGAGGCAGGTTGAAGTAATCTATGACATGTGTTTGAACAGAGGTGGGTTAGTCTAGTGTTCAGAGATTGGGAAAGTGAGGAGGAATCAGCAAAGGAAACTGAGCAGGAGGGGCCAGTGAGAAAGGAGACCCAAGAGGTAATGTGTGGATGGTGACCCAGAGGCCAACTGAAGAAAGATTATTGTGCCTTACGTAAAAACAACCTACCAATTTCTAACATTTACCCCAGGTCTCAGTGGGTAGTGTATTTCCATGGGTATATTTATGCTGTGTGTGTGTGTGTAAAAATTTTTGGCCTGAGGTCACCCAGCTATCATATATTCACTTTGTTCCTCCCTTAATAATGCTGAGTCCATGTAGTCTAGAACTTCAGTTCTGGGTTTGTGGTTACAAACTTTACTAGTTTTCTTTTCTTCTGCAAGATCACTTCACTTTCCTTTATATACTTCTAAGGAAAACCTGAAGCATTTGCCATCTGCCAAGGCTGCCTATCCTTTAATTCATCCATCCATCCATCCATCCATCCATCCATCCATCCATCCAAGGGATAGTTACTGGGAATTTACAATGTATAGGCACCATTCCAGGCACTGGGGATACAGCCATGGACCACATAGTACAAGCACTATCCTTGCCACCAGGGAGCTTGCACTCCAGTGGAGGGGGGTTGGGGAGAGGGAGACAATGTAATTGCAGGGCCAACAAACTAAATTAACATTGTTATGCTCACACTGATAAAAACAATCAGGGATCTAATATAGTGTTCGGCAAACTCATTAGTCAACAGAGCCAAATATCAACAGGACAATGATTGAAAACTTTTTTGAGAGCCAAATTTTTTTAAACTTAAATTTCTTCTAAAGCCACTTCTTCAAAATAGATTCGCCCAGGATGTGGTATTTTGTGGCCACACTCAAGGGGCCAAAGAGCCGCATGTGGCTTGTGAGCCACAGTTTTCTGACCACGGGTCTAAAATGTAGGACAACAATGGAGACTAATAGTGGGGACTACTTCCATTGAAAGGGCAGGGAAGGAGTCAGATCCCGATGTCGCCAAAGTAACCAGCAAATCTCTTCCTTTTTGAATTGAACCTGTGTTCCGGTTCCTAGAAACCCCCAGGCTCTTGGTTTTCTCCTCGCTTACCAGAATGATGGAGGAAACCTACCTCCAGTTCTGTCTTCATGTGCGCACCTATTTCTACAATTTACAATATTAATTTAAATAATCAGTCTTTCAATAATTTCATCTAACATCTGCCAGAGGAAGCAAAAGATTATAAAAAGTGAATTTATCAAAGTTCATCTTCCAACAACATTTAATTTGACTAACATTTTATTTTTTGGAGGGAACAGCTATTATTACATTACAGTGCAGACAGTGATTTAAATAAGCATTTATGTGCATCCTATTATTTAATCTTCTCAAATGCCCTGTGAGGTAGATATTATTATTATCCCTATTTTCCACTTAAAAAAGCCCAAGGCTTGGACAGGTTAATGGTCCAAGGTCACACAGCTAGGTCGTGGCAGAGCTGAGGTTAATATCCATGCCTGAGCTATTAAGTCTAAATGTGTAGATACAACCAGCAAATAGATCACATCCATTCATTTATGCATTCAATCAATTACTTTCTCAACATAGATGCCTTCTCTGTCCTCCTGAGTTAGCACCCCCCTCATGTTCCCAAGGACCCTGGCCTTCTCCTATCCTAACTTATCATGCACTTTGCTATCGCTTGTTGCTTCTTTCTCTCCCACTGACCAGCCGCAGTCAAGTTTCTTGTTATTCATCATTGTATCCCTAGCATCTAGCCTAGTGCCTGAACGCAACAGACTTATTTAAAAAGCAAACACAAAGCAAACAAACAAACAAACAAACAAACAAACAAACAAACAAAAACTGAAAGAGGGCAGCTAGATCCTGGGCATACAAATAATTTATTCAAGTACAGCACCTATTCTCTTTAGGAGGCCACAATTCAGCACTAGACACTGGGATCCAGCCTGGCAAGTGCACTGAATGAGCTACCAGAATCGATTTCTATTGTGGAATCCAGGGACGACAGGGCAAGGCAGTGGGTGTGGAAGGTGGAGAGGGACACCTGAGAGGATCCATTCATTTATTCCACAAATATTTATCAATTACCATAGCATACACAGCACATGGTAAGCACTCAGCATCTTATTAAATGCCAGCCACTGGTCTAGGTGTTGGGGATGCTACAGCGCAGCAGAAAACTGCGGCGGCCCTTCTTCCCTCGAGAAGCTCACCGTGTACCGAAGGACTACAGGCTGTGGGCGTAATTATATAAAATTGTGTTAGAAGCCGAGCAAGAAAACAACTGGCGGCTGAAATTCTAAGGCTATTAGATCCTTCAGCTGGGGGCAGCCGTGGGCGGGTTTTGAGCTGGAGTAGCTGTGATGGGGACCAACTGCAGGGGGCGGGAAGACTGCAGGCAAGAAGAGCTGGTAATTTTAAGATGCAAATATTTTCAGCCTGCCAGGAAGAAGGAGCGTGTGTCTAGGGTCGACAGTCGCTCTGTGCACTCGGGGTTCTCCCGGGGCCGAGGCTGCATTTTGAATGCAAACTTGAATGCCTAGCTCTTCCGCTTTCCAGACTTGCAGATGCACCATCTCAGACTAGGACCCGGACCGCAGCAAGCGGGCAAGATTCTGGGTGGCGGGCCCCGTGCACTGAAGCAATTACTACCTAGGTTCGGGTCTGCAGCACCGCGCGGGCGGGAGGGGGCGGGGCTTGCGATGCAGCCCCAGGCGGTACTGTGGCCCGCCCTCTGCCTCAGGCCCCGCCTCCAGACCAGGATGATTGGGCCAAGGCCGCGGAAGGGCGGGGCGTCCGCTGGAGGCCGGGGGGGTCAGGCTGAGGCGGGCTTTCTGATTGGTCCGACTGGGATTAGGTCATCGCTAGCAGGTTCGAGCGGCCCGAAGCGGCGGCCGGGGCGGCTGAGGCTGCTGTGAGAGGGCGCTCGAGGCTGCTGGAGAGCGAACCAGCCGAGGAGGCGGGGAGGCGGCTCCCGCATTCGCTCTCCGGCTCGCTCGCTTCCCGGCGCCGCCGCTGCCGCTCCGCCGCCGCGCTTCCTGCTCGCCTGCCGCTCCGTTACGCGCCGTACTAGCAGCCGGGTCCGGGCTGGGCTCGGGAGTCGTGCTCGCGGGCGGACATCGCGCGCGGAAGGCGAGCCGCGGCCACACCTGTGGAGCCGGCGGCCGCCCGGGTGCCTGTCCGGGGTCTCCCCGCGTGCGTGCTCGGGGCTGCGGGCCGCGAGGGCTCCCGGGGAGGCAGTCCCCCCACCCCCCCGGCTGGGCGCCCCACTGGCACCATGGGGCTCCCGGCGCTGGAATTCAGCGACTGCTGCCTGGACAGCCCGCACTTCCGAGAGACGCTCAAGTCGCACGAAGCGGAGCTGGACAAGACCAACAAATTCATCAAGGAGCTCATCAAGGACGGGAAGTCCCTCATCAGCGCGCTCAAGAGTGAGTGTCCCCGAGCCCGGCGGGGGACGCAGCCCGGGGCGGGAGGGGCCGGCGGGCTCGCTCAGCCCTGGCTGGGTGTCTGGGCACCCGGGCGCCCGGCTGATTTTCTCTCCCCGGGGCGCTGAGGGGCAGGCGTAGATGCTGGTGAGGGAGGCGGGAAGGGGTTCCTAAAATGGGCGAGCCAGCGATTGACTATCCGGCCAGGAGAGAGACCCGGCGCCCAGTCCTTTGCGTTCTGGAACGGTCGGGAGGTGGCCGGGTGGGAGGTGGCCGGTCGGGAGATGGCCGAGCGCTAGCGGTGCTCCCGGCTCCCGGTGGGTGTGCGCGGCTCACAGGTGTCCCGGAAGTGGGACGGGGTTCCCGGGGCGCCGCAGCCGGTGGGAACCCCCTCGCGCCTCTGGCTCAGGCTCCCTTGGGGACGAGGTGCTCACCCTGGGGCGCCCAGCGTGGGAATGGAGCATCCCCTGTCCAGGGGGCGCTGCCTCCCCTCAGGAAGAGGCGGCTTGGGGCTGCTGGGCTCCCAGCACGCAGCTCCAGTCTGCTCGGGGCCGCCGGCTTCTCCGAAAGGCATGCGAGAAGGTCTGGGTGGAACGGTTGCTCAGCCCAGGATTCTTTGGAGTATTGGCAGCCGATCAGCCCCAAATGTAGAATCGGGAACCTTAGGTACGAATGCAGGTCCTGATTCTTGTGTTTCACAGGAGGTGATAGGGGTGGGGCTCCAGAACCCCAGTGTTCCTTTACTCTAAAACCGTGGGCGAGTGTTTAAAAATAGAAGGAACATATCCTGACTCTTCCCCCCTTCCGCTCCCTTGCTCTCCTTTTTACTTCTGTCTTTGAGAAGAAAAAAAAAAAAAAAACCACTCAAAGGTCTGAGAAGGAATGTCCTCGGTTCTCGATCAGAAAAGAGAAGTTTAAACGTATTCCCCAAGATTCTGGAACCTTTTGTAAAATCATTTTTTTCCCCATTTGGTGGGGGGAAGAAATGAAATTTGCGTTCTGCGTATGACCTTTTTTTTTTTTTTTTTTTTTGCAGAGCCTGAGAGTTAGTTGCTCCTTCCGGCCGAACGAGAGTGGCCTGGGGATGAGCATCTCAGGTTGTGAGATCCTTATCCAGGCCCCATCCATTTAAATAGAGTTCAGTACATCTTTTAGTTTTGAGAATCAGGAATAACGTGAAGGCAGAGAGTGGAATTGCGTTTCGCTTCACTTTTCCTGTCTCTGGGATAGATTTCTTCGTAGGTGATAGATACCTTTCAGCTGAGAAAGGTTGTGTTGGCAGATTAAGGTCCTAATGGTGAGAATTTCCCCAGCCACACCAAAGGAGATTTACAGAAGACAGGTGCCTGAGGTGTCCTTTTGCGAGCCGTTTATTTTTAAAAGTGCAGGGCAGTAGGTGCCAATCTTTTGGGGTGAAATAAACGTAGAACTGTGCCGTGAGGAGGCTCCTCAGAGGCTGGAGACTGTGACCCGAAGCACCTTAAACGGATTTTTCCTTTGTCAGTGATCAGGACCATCCTGCGTTCAGGGAATACTTGAGCCCTGGTTGGAGTAAGTTAGGAGCCCAGGTATAGATTGGCCCCACCAATTTTGATTGAATCTCAGGCCTTCTTTAATCAGGCCTCTGCTTTATCCAGTGAACATGTCCATGCTGTGCCTGCTGTGTGCTGGGTACTGCCCTGGGCATGGAGGATGTAGCAGTGAATATTCTGCCCCTGGGGCTACAGGGATTCAGTAGAATTATCTCTTGTGCTGTTCTTTTTACAAATGAGAAAACAGGCTTGGGGGGATTCACTAGGCCAGGGCCACACTAGCAGTAGGGCTTAGTTTGGAACCCCCACTTGGTCTGAGCTGGAGATGGAGTTCTTGCTGGTGTAGAGCTCTTAATCTCGCCCCAGCCCACTTGCCCAGAATGGACCCTATGGACCAAGCCTTCTGGAATTAGGACTTGGATTTTGTATCTGGCCTTGAATCTGAAGAGGGTGCAAGTGTGTGGCTTTAGGTTTATTTGGCTGCTATAATTGTGTGTGTGTGTGTGTGTGTGTGTGTGTGTGTGTAAGAATTCTTTGGGTAGGAGGAAATAAGGCAGTGATAGGGTTTAAGAATTATTGAAGTTTTGTAATGGAATTGACCACCCGTGTAACTTGGGGGAAAGTCTTACATGGAACTAAGTGTTCTAATCTCTGAATATGTAGCTCTACTACTATTACTGCTGCTGCTGCTGCTACTACTACTACTACTACTACTACTATTTGGGCAGGTCATGTGACCTCTTAAATTAAAGAGGATGAAATCCCAGACTTCAGGCATTCCGTTATCATTAGGTGCTTGCTACATTGTATATACTACTACTGTATTAGTTTTTGTGTATTGTTTTCCTTTGGGTGATTCCTAACACTACTGTAAATGTAAAGGCAGTATTTTAAAAAATAAGTACATAGTTCATAAATAACAGTGATTTGGATGATTTACAGTCTCTTCCAGCTCTAAAATTTTATGGCTTTATTTTATAATTAGTATTTATAGGTCTTTAGATTTAATTTTTATTGGTGTGTTTATATGGGGCAATAAAACTGGCCTTTAGGGATTGCCAAGGTTCAGCTAGATCATTATTATTTCTGCTTCCACTTTATGAGTGAGGAAACTGAAGATCAGAGAGATCAGTAACCTGCCCTAGCCAACACAGCAAATAAGTATATTTAAACCAAGTTGTCTGATTCCAAAGCCTGTGCACTTAATCCTGAAACAAAACTGCCCACTAGGTCAGTTTTCTCTTGAGTACCCTTGAAAATCTGATAAACAAACACCATGGACTCCATTAAATGAACTTAAGTCTTTCCCAGGAGTCCAAACTTCTGGTCAGGACACATAGAAGATAAGCAATAAGATGATTCGGGACCTACATTTTTAAAAATCCTGGTTTTGGAGATATGCAGAATGCTTTTGAGGCTCCCAGTCACCTTTTCTATGCTGATTTGTTCAGGCCTTTTCTGTGGGCACTTATTCATCTGCCCAGGTCCCTTTTCTTGACCTAATTAATCAGTGTCTCAGTGAAGAGGATTCTCTCCTCCTATAGAGACAGTAGAGGGTCAGTATGAATTTGGGAGTTAAGAATTAAGAAATTTAGGATTTCCTGGGTTTGAATCTTGACCCAATCACAGCAGCCCTTGTTTATTGAGCACTTGCCAAGTACCCAGCTTTATGCTAAGTGCACATTGTCTCATTAAGCCTATCACCGTCCTGTGAGAGGAATACTCTTATTTTTCTGCATCTTATAGTTGGGGTAACTTGTTTAAGGTCACACAGCTAGGAAGTTGTACAACCAAGTTTTGAACCTAGCGACGGACCTACAGGACCTTCTCTTGAACATGACTCTTTGATACTTCAGTAAACATGCTGGCAATGAAGATGCAAATTTTTTATAGATCTAGACCTTAGAAAGGAGAAACATGCAGCAGGTGCTAGATTAAGTGAGAACATTGGCTCATCCCAGATTCTGAGCCCTAGGTATCAAAGAACAATTGATACTTATACTTTGTATTGTGCTCTGAAGTTTTGTGTTTCTCTCTCCATTATTGGATTGAAGACCTATTGTAGGAGGGGCAAATGAAGGTTTCTGACTATCTCTTGGCTTTATAAAACAATAATTTCTCTTTTATAGCATTAATGTCTTTTTAATTAAAAATTGTTTTGTGATATAATTAACATCATATTACTTTTAGGTATACAACATAGTGATTTGATATTTGTATATATTGTGAGGTGATCATCATGATAAGTCTGTTTCCAGTTATAATTTTTTTCTTTTGATGAGACTTTTAAGATTTACTCCTTTAGCAACTTTCAAATATTCACTACAGTATTATTATCAACTATGCTATAATTCTACCCCCATTACTAATTTATTTTATGACCGGAAGTCATTATATTTTAATTGGGTAAAAAAAGCATTGAACAGGGAAGCCAAAAATCCTATTCCTGATTTGGTAAGCAATGGTTCATCCTCTTTGTTTATTAAAACGAGTGAAAAATTGACAAGAAGAGTTGTGTGCTTTGAAGCATATCATCTCTTTGTACTTTTTAAGGATTTGTTTTTGCAATAGTGAGATAAACCCTTATTGAGTGGCATAAACTCTCAAAGGATGTTCAGTGCCAACCAGCTTTGTTTAGGAGTAATTATATTACTCACAAAATCCTAAAGGAACAAATGGGTATTGAGTTAGAAAAACATTTTTCCCCAGTTCCTTTGCTTTGCTTTACCACCTTGCAAATAAAAGGGGGGGAAAGGATTTTCTGATTATTTGTAAATGATAATATTTTGCAATACTGACATTTGGAGTGTTATGCATACAAATATAAACAATAGCAAATTAAATCCAAATAAGGTTTTGCAGTTTTTATATAATACTGGCTTAAAAAAAAAGTCCTCCCACTGTAATTCATTCTGCTCTCGATTGGATTGAATAAATTGCATCTAATCTGTAGTTCTCAACTCACTGACTTGAGACTTAAGCTCTCCTCCTTCCTGCTTTTAAAACTAATTAATAGACTTTATTTTTAGAGCAGTTTTAGGTTTCTAGAACAATTGAGTGGAAAGTATAGAGAGTTCCCATATAGCCTCTCACACCTATTCCTTCCTATCATTAACATTTTGAAGTAGTGAGGTACATTTGTTACGGTGGTGACAATGTTATTAATCAAAGTCCATAGATTACATTAGGGTTCACTCTTTGTGTTGTGCATTCTGTGGGTTGGGACAAATGTATAATAACAGGTATTGGCCATGATAGTATCATACCAGAATAGTTTCATTGCCCTAAAATCTGTGCTTCACTCCTGTGCCCCATCCTTGACAACCACTAAACTTTGTGTTTCCCCAGTTTTGCCTTCTCCAGAATGTCATATATTTGGAATCATACAATATGTAGCCTTTTCACATTGGCTTCTTTCACTTAGCAATATGCACTTAAAGTTCCTCCATTTGTTTTGCGACGTGATAGCTC